GGGCACACGACTTCTACGATTATACTGTTGCTATGATAGTACTGTCGGGGCAGACCTCTGTCGACGGTGTGGGTGCGGGGGGGTGGTCGAAGACCACCCTCTTGCACCCGCCCATGTGTGTGTGTGTGTCTATGCATACGACTTCTATAATTATACTGTTACACGTGGGGCGGAACTCACTGTATCCACGTATACACTTTACAACGTGGAAATAAAACGTCATTCTTTAAACTTTTTTTTGAGAAAAATCGCTTCACGATGAAAGTCTAAAAGTGTAAAGAATAACGTTTTATTTCTGCAACTTCATTCAAACATTTTTGGCACTAAACTTTTTTGTCGGTGAAAATCCTTTTAAGGACATTCATTTGACGTCATTTAGAGTATTTCTGCCAAGTTTCATGATAATCGGGAGCGTGTGTGTGTAAAATATCAAGTAATTGACTCATAATCGTTATATAACGAATGGAACACACACACACGTGCGGGTGCAAGGGAGTGGCCTTCGGCCCCCCCCCCGCACCACTCTGTCGGTGGAGATTTGCCCCAACAGTACAATCACAGCAATAGTACAATCGTAGATGTCGTGTGCCCCTATGCGGGGGAGGGAGGTGGGTGAAAGTTACTTCGCGTGGAAAGTTCAACGTTTCTGAACAGGGAAAGATATAGAATAGTACTTCATATCATACATGTATAGCATACGTTAAAACTATGATTGTTAATAACTTTTTAACGAAGGACGAGCAGCAGCTAAAACCTGTTGAGGGTTACTCAGGGTCATGACCTTGACAACATATGTCAAGGTCACAGTCATTGGAGGGAGGTTCCCTGATCGAGACATTTACTATTTTAAAACTATGATTGTTAATAACTTTTTAACGAAGGACGAGCGACAGTTAAAACCTGTTGGAGATTACTCAGGGTCATAACCTTGACAACATAAGGTAAATGTACCAGTTCGTGGACACGACCCAATTGTTGGACAAATTGTGACAGTTTTAAATATTAAGCTTTTGATGATATGTGTTACTCTAAATAAATTTTTAAGCAATTTTTCATATTATTTAGAAATTAAGTATTATATAATTTATTCATATAAAAAATGATACTTTTGTAAAAAAAATTTCGTTTATGGACAATCGTCCATTTATTAGGACATTCACACATATGCGTGTATCAATTATTGGACATTCCTTAGCGTACCTATCTACTGCAAACATATTTTGTATATATTACATATAAAACTTTATATAAAACTTCACTAATTACAATTTCGATAAACTTTTTTGAACAATCTTGATTGATAAGTAAGTAAAATGCGATACTCTTCCATAATAAGAAAATTGCTTATTATTTGTCCAATAATTTTGTGGACACAGAGACACGTCACATTTTTTGTCCAATAATTAGGACATTTGAATCATATTATATTTATGACTAAATACAATTTATAATAAACGCAAATAACATATTTGATAATGGATTTAGTTTTAGAAAACATCCATTCTTACTAAGCATGTGTAATAAACTAAAATTTTAATGTTTCTAAAGTTTAAATAAATGATTTCGTCGTGCAATTCCTTAACTGTCCAATAACCGATACATTTACCTTATATCAAGGTCAAAATCATTGGAGGGGGATCCCGACACGTTTACCATATTTTCATATGTACTTTTTTTTATGAACATTAGCCTACTTTTTCTAAAATAGTTTCTTTATTCATATATGATTCAAAACCATATGCTGTGTGCTGAAGTTATAAAAGTTTATCTGTTTGTAAAAAGTACTTCGGGTACATCATTTCAAAACAAGATAATAATGACTATTATATTTTTGGGGGAGGTGGGGGGTAATACATATATTACTATGAATAAAATATTGCGAAGAATATTACTACGTCGACCCGCCATCAGAGGTCTATAGATATTCGCAAGTACAGAGGTCTATAAATTCTCGCAAGTACTTTAATACGCGTATCTCTTTATATAGAATCTCAATTGAATAACCCTTACAGGCGTATAAGGTAGGCTTCTGCTACAATGCCTTACTGATGAGTCCAGTAGTGCAAGCTTGGACGAAACGCCATATTTAAGTAATATTCTTCGCAATATATTAAATTAATTTTCCTTCGTTTACTGATGATGGTCATATTAAAGGCCGAATCGTTTACTAATAATAATAAAAATTTCGTTTTAATATTCTACGAAATACATTATATTTTCGCTAAATCTATCCAGCGTCGTGGTATATGCTCATTTTTAATCCTTTGAAAAAAAATAATTTTTCAAAAATTCTAGAGTGGCTTTACCCCTTAAGTATTATATTTTTAATAATGTATAGAATTAACATTAATTTTAAATATTCAATACTAAAAACCGTTAATGTGAAAACATAACTAATACAAATACGAAGCCTATAACAGTCTAGCTTGGATCTTTTAATCGCTTACATATTGATTACCGCGGTACTATCACGAATTAAATTAAATTAATAATTAACTAATGTACGTAGTCCTCCCAAATTGCGCGCCGAACACTCCCGGCCGAGGTAATATTTTTCACAATAAGAATAATTTTTTCCAGATTTAGTATTTTCAGATTATTAGAGTTGCATTTCAAGACTGACGACTGTTCGGCACGCAATTTGGGGGGAACTACGTATATTAGTTAGTTATTAATTTAATGTAATTCGTGATAGTATCGCGGTAGTTTATATGTAAGCGATTAAAAGATCCAAGCTAGACTGTTATAGGCTTCGTATTTGCATTAGTTATGTTTTCACATTAAAAGTTTTTAGTATTGAATATTGTTTAAAATCAATGTTAATTCTATACATTATTAATAATAAAATACTTAAGGGGTAAGGCCACTATAGAATTTTAAAAAATTATTTTTTTTTTTTAGTTAAATGATGCTTTAAGATCTTAGAAATAAGGCACAAAGGTCACTTTTTTCAAACTGGCCGGAAAGATAACTTCTACAAATCTTGTCCGATTTACTTGAAATTTTAACTGTAGCTTCATAATTGCATTCTCTAGAGAAAGACACGGATTTTTTTTATGTTGTATACTTTTTTTTATATAAATAATTTTTCACCTATTTTTATCTTTTAAATATAAATTTTTATTGATTTTAAATATTATGACAATGATAACGCACGAATTTAAAAATACAAAAGGCCTATTTCTGTCTACAAGATTTATCAAATAAAATAATTTATTATAATTATAACTATTTACTGAATTAATCTTTGTTTTACTTAAATAAAAGGAAATGTATTGTTCATGTGTGAATTTGTATTCGAAAGTCTGTTATAATAGCGACCGGTCAACCATTGTAAGTTTTTTGTTTCATACTCGGAGTGACGCTAGCGGGCGTTGCGTGTATGAACTGATGAAGAAATCGTTGTATGTTTTAGAATAGAAGCGCTCGAACCGTCCATGAGACTAGACGTTACCTCAGTGATACTTTTAAATTTGTGATAATTTTGTTAAGTTCATTAAAATTGCCTAGAGCACTGTTCAGTTCACTCCAAAAAAAGGTATTTATTGTAATCCCCAACAGTTTACTTTACGATAATATGTCTTACACAACCAGATTCTAAAGTGACGTTTTAAATTAGTAAATATTTGTTTATTTCCATATTTGATCTATTATATTTACATTTTCTTAAAGTATAATGTATTTCTTCTAGGAAATATGACTTTTAATTTGATGTTTCAGACGAAATGGCAGGAAGTAACACCTTAGGGTGGTTTGACTATTTAGTTATAGCAGTGATGTTATGTATATGTGTCGGAATTGGTATTTATTATAGATTTAGTGGAGGACGTCAAAAAACTATGGAGGTAATTTTTATTGTTATTTTTTTCTTATTATAGTGAACCCCCTTGTTACAGAAAATAGAACAGAATTATTTTTTTCTTTAAATTTTATTGTAACAAAGACTAATACGTTTCGCAGGAGTACTTCATTGCAAATCGATCGATGAACGTATTACCAGTCGCCATTGCCATGGCGTCCTCTCACATATCTGCTCTTGCATTTCTTGGTTTGTCCGCTGAGATTTACACATACGGAACTCAAATTGTTGGACTAAACTTAGGGTATTTTTTGAGCATTCCGATTTTATGTTATGGATTCTTACCAGTATTCTTCAAGTTGCAAGCGACGAGTATTTATGAGGTAAATTTAATAAAATTTAATTTTGTAGCGGAAAATTTTCAATAGCATATTTCAAGGAATATTTTTTTAGTATTTAGGGAAGCGTTTCGGAGTACGAGTTAGAATAATGGCTAGTTTCGCTTATTGGATTCAACAAATTTTCTATTCAGGATTGATACTTTATGCTCCTTCTTTAGCTTTGGAGGCGACTACAGGAATCTCCAAGACTGTCAGCATTATTATTATTGGCTCTATATGTGCCTTCTATTCCAGTATAGGTGGTATTAAGGCTGTACTAATAACCGATGTGTTTCAAAGTTTGCTCATGTTTGCCGCCGTGATCTTAATTATTAGCATAGCCGCAAATGATGTCGGAGGATTACAACAGATCTGGGAAATTGCGCGGCAAGGGCAACGGCTTGAATTTGATAGGTATTACATTTATTTATCCAAATTAATTGTATGATCACCAAAACGACTTATAGATTCGTAGACACTAACTTTAATTTTATTCTTGTTAGCATCGATCTGGATCCAACAGTAAGACATACCTGGTGGTCTGTCACATTGGGTGGTATATGTATATTCTTAACACTTATGGGAGTGAATCAAGTTCATATACAACGTATAATGACTCTAAAGTAAATAATTTAAGTATTCTAAGAAATATTATAATCTTTTTAGGACCGTACTATTGATAAATAATAAACGAGAAGAAAGAAGCCCAATAACGGTCAAAGCTAGATCACAAAGCTTATTATTATTATGTAGTTCCTTTAATCGCGTGCCGAAATTTTTTCAGATTTACAACGCAACTCTAATGAACTACCGTAGTAATATCACTTAGTTAAATTGACAAACAATCTATCAATTTTTGTGATGCTTATAGCATCTTATTGGATCTTAATAATATGTTGAAAGATATATTAAAATCTAACGATGTAATGTTAAAGTAATGATAACTCAAAATCTGTGAAAAATAATATTGCGGTATTAATAAAACTTCGGCACGCGGTTAAAGGAACTACATACGCGGTATATAAAATTCACACATAATAATAATAAGCATTGTGATCTAGTTTTGTCCGTTATTAGGCTTCCTTTTTCTCGTTTATTGTTCAAGTATTCTAAAATTTAAGCAACACTGGATACTAATAAAAAATTATATACTAGAGCAATATTATTAATACTTTACTTCATATGTGGCACAATAACAAGTTAATCATATAATATTAATTTTTTATGTGATTACGTTATTAACAATATTTACTTTCAACAATACATTTTCTGATTATGCGCTTGAAAAAAAAGATTAATTTAATTTGGTTTCAGAAATATGCAAGCTGCACAAAGAACCGAATGGCTGTGCTGTTACATTATAATCCTTCTCTTATTCATAATTTACTTCTCAGGATTGGCAATATACAGCAAGTATTACAATTGCGATCCCTTCCTCGAGAAAAGAATTACTTCTCTTGATATGCTTATGCCACTGTACGTCATGGACTCGATGTCCAATATATCTGGTTTACCAGGACTCTTCGTTGCGGGTAATACTTCTGTCATCAATTAACATCTCATAGAAATTAAATGCTACAAATTATGATCATAAAAATACATATTTAATGGTATTAATATCTGTAATACTATTTCACGCCCAATTTTAAAGTCAGTTTTAAAATAAAAACGCATAGTGAATGTATTCACAATATTATTAATTACTCATTTTAGATTTTTTTTATGTCGTATATCTATTAGAACATTCTAAAGCGAAAGCGCTCAGTAAATATATTTACAATTTTGGATTGTCTTGTGTATTTTTCTAGGTATTTTTAGCGCAGGCCTTAGCACGATTTCTGCAGTGTTAAATTCTCTAGCAGCAGTAACGCTCGAAGATTATTTGAAACCTCTATATATAAAGTGCAGTGGAAATGAACTCTCTCCTGCAACATCAACCTCAATCGCTAAAATGCTCGCTTTTATATTCGGTATTATTTCCGTTATGCTGGCATTTTTAGTGCAATATTTGGATGGACTATTTCAGGTAATTACTATTTCTGACATTTATGCAGATTAAACGACACCGCGCCGATGACCTTGACCTTGACATATGTTGTCAAGATCATTCTGAGCAATTTTCCCTTAACGACTAGGTGGCGGTCGCTCACAGTTTCTAAGATATTTAGACTTAAAGGTATAATTTGTGTTGTAAATCTTTCTATTAGAAAATAAGAGAGAAGGAAATTCACCCCACCTCTCCCCCTGTCAAAGAACTTTCTACATGAAGTAAATCTCATCCCACCTTTTCTCTTCTAAGAAGAGCGGAGATTAGTAGAAAAATTTTGTACACATATTAAATCTTTAGGTCTAAATATCTCAGAAACTAGCCACCTAGTTATTAAGGCAAAGTTGTTTATAATCATTACTTTGACAACATATGTCAAGATCATCGACGCGCTGTTCCTTAAAATGCATAATTGTCCTATTTCTAAATCTAAAACTAATAGCGATAAAATATATTTCTCAAATTGTAGGTTTTCTTTACTCTTTCTGGAATAATTGGTGGCCCATTATTAGGTATTTTTACTCTTGGCATGAGCACAGAATCAGCGACAGAAGAAGGAGCAATAACCGGTGCTCTTATAACATTTTCATTTTTATTGTGGATTGCCTTTGGTCAGCCACGTCCGATACCGCCTAAATTGCCAACTACTATAGAAGGTTGTAATAATAATGTAAATATATCCGATTTGCAAATCACACGTACACACAGCTTCTTCAAGTAAGTGGTTCATCAAATAGTAGTTACATGGAAAGAACGGTTTTGCTGAAGAATATAAAAATTCAGGTACATTCAAATCTGAAAATAATTATGTTGGATCATCAAAATAATTATTTAAGACCCTCGATCTAGTTGCTATAGACATTCAAACTTTATATAATATATATTAAGTAATTTTTGATATAATCTATTTTTTTCTATATATTTTTTATATTTATGTTTTTTTATATTTATATTTTATTATTTTTTAAAATTTGAAATTAAATATATCTATATATTGTATTATTTTTAAATGAAATTTTACTTGACCCTTATATCGCCCTTTCTATTTGTATTAATTATTAAAATTATGTAGGATATACTTAAATATGATATAATAATATGTATATAATATATATATATTATATATATATATATATATATAATATATATATTATATATATATATATTATATACATATTATTATATCATATTTAAGTATATCCTACATAATTTTAATAATTAATACAAATAGAAAGGGCGATATAAGGGTCAAGTAAAATTTCATTTAAAAATAATACAATATATAGATATATTTAATTTCAAATTTTAAAAAATAATAAAATATAAATATAAAAAAACATAAATATAAAAAATATATAGAAAAAAATAGATTATATCAAAATTACTTAAAAATGACATGATGGACATTGCGTAACAAGTTTCGGCTCTCGGATTAAGCCCTCCTCAGACATTAAAAACGGCGGATAAAATCATTCGTCAGAAGATTGGTCGTACATTCTCTATTTTAATCATGCGAGTCTTCACAGAAAAATGACATTTTGGTTATACATGATTGAAAAGTCAATATAACAATATCTCTGAAATGATGATAAAAAACTTTCCTTTTAAATGTTAAACAAATTGTGTCAAAATTTCTAAAAGAAAACTCACCAATAGAATCGTGTTGGGGATTACAATAAATACACTCTTTTTTCTAGAGTGAACTGAACAGTGCTCCTTTAATAAACTTAACAAAAAATCACAATTTTAAATGTATCACTGAGATAACGTATGTCTAGTCTTATGGACGGTTCGAGCGCTTCTAACTTAAAAAACATACAACGATCTCTTCGTACACGCAACGCCCGCTAACGTCACTCCGAGCAAGAAACAAAACTTACAATTAAAGACCTATAATGAAAGATGCGCCAACCGCGAACGGCCCGTGATTGATCAGCCATTGCGTACTCGTGCCAACCTTACCTGCCTGACGCTGCCAAGCTAGGTGAGAAGATGAGAGCCTGTTACGTATATGGTTATAAAAATATGTAGGTAAAAATTGCGAAGTATGGTCTTGTTTTATGAAATATGTAATATTATGATAATGTAGAATTAGTTTATGTCTGTTTTATTTCATTTCAATATATTTAATTTTATAATCGTTAGTTTCAATATAAGGTTATACAGTTTATGTTTCTGTGTTGTCATTATCTTACATATACATATATTACTTTAACTTTTGTATATTAGAGTTCTGTAGAACTCTAAAATTAATATGAATATTGTATATCACATCATTGTCCTTTTTGATGTAGCATGAAATGGTCCGTGTATGCTAAAAATGACACTAATTGCTCAAATATATGAAAATTTATTAATCATCAATATTCAAATATATAAACATGTATAATTATTTTTTTATTTGTTATATTCAATCATATGTTCCTTCAAATGTATTGCCTTTTTCATTCGATTCATTTCGTAGGATTATTTTAATGCTCTTAAGTATTTTATTTTTCAATTTCAAACATCTGATGATTTCGGATGCGTACATTCCCTCTGTAGAGTTTGCAACATCTCTGATTCTTCTTCTGGTACTTCAACTCCACTTTGTTGACATGATCATTACGAAAGGGTTAGGTTACGTATGGGTACAAGATGTCGGACAGAAGTAGTGGTGGGGGACAGTTGGCGCATCTTTCATTATAGGTCTTTACTTACAATGGTTGACCGGTCGCTATTAGAACAGACTTTCGAATACAAATTCGTACAAATCGAACGATAATAATGTTAATTTAGTGTATCAGCATTACAAATATACGTCAATTGGATAAAATACAAAAAAAAAAGTTTGCACATTTTGGACATTGTGTAAATCGACTGATAACGTTGATTAACGGATGCAGACTGAGTCCACACATTATTAATAATTGAATTAAAATTATGTGTGCATTACATAATTTTAATTCAATTATTAATATGTGTGAACTCCTTATATTTCTATAAAACAAAAAAAAATTAAAATCGGCCAAAGAGGAGTCAACGCGGTAAGTCGTGCGCAAATTAAGAGAATAAATATTTACTAAAAAAACATAATACGTAATTATTTACATCAACAATTAAAATTTCTATAAATATAATTTAATATATAGTTTAATATTTCCGTTTGACGTTTCGGCTATACATTTTAGCCATTCTCAGCAGAACATTAACGATCAATCACATAGCGTCCAACAGAAAGCAATTATCGGCCAAAGTAGTTACAATGCTTATTGATAGCGAAATTATGTTATCTAAATATTAATAAAATTGTTAGAATAGTACATTGTATAACAGTGGAGGACATTTGTTTATTGCGCGGCCAGGCACGAGCGCACGAGCGAAACGAGTGCGTACGAGTACCCGTGCCGACCTATAAACAAATATGCCTCCACTTGCTACACATAGAATTTTTCATTACAAGTGCTCGTCGTAATATGCCTTATACAGCAACGTTTTTGCGCAGAAGAGTGGGATTAGAGAAATAACTCAACGGCTTGAGGTATCAAGCGACGCGGTAGCGTCGCGACGCCAAGTGCATAAAATAAAAATATAACCGTTTGACATGATGACATGATACTTGATGTGTGTATATGTTCATGCGATGTCAAATTCACAACGCTACCACTAGCTTTATCTCGAGTTTTCACATCTTGAAACTTTAGATTAAAATTACTCAGAATTTAAAAGCACAATCAAAAATCTAAAAATACTTTTATTATATAATGTCATCGGTATCTTTCGATTGCGACCAGTCCGAATAAAATTGGTGCAGCCGATACCGAGATCTAGAGACCGAGTCCCGAAAAGGGTACGTTTCAGTTATGTTCAGACGTACGTGTGACACATACATGTATTTTTCAATCGTACGTGTGACACATACATGTAATTGTAATTCAACTGCTTTACTTGAAAAGACTAGTATAACAACGACCAAACGTGTACTTATTATTCAATTATTATTATTTAAAGTTAATAATGAAGAAGTTATAAAGATTACAAATCTTAATATTAAATCCATACCTTCGTCAAAAATTTGTATCGGTGATAATATTTATAAAGTTAATAGTGCGATTCTTCATCATGGTAAAAATATAGACGAAGGACATTACACAAATTTATTGCGAGCTAAAGGTACAAAATGGACATCCATAAATGATTTAAAAGTTGAAGTATGTAAGTGGCCACGAAATGCAAAGAGCGCGTATATATTTTTCTTAGAACAAATCTAAATTAAGTACAAATAAACTTAAGTATAATTAAGTGTCAATAAATACAATACGAGTACATCTTTAATATTAAATAAATAGAAATTTACAAAATAACTATTTTAGAAACAGAATCTGTATTTATTTTTAGAGGATTTAAATTTCCTACATTATTATCACGTTTTCATAATTAACAAAAAGCAGTGAAATCCCAAAAAAAACCTTTTTTTAAAAAAAGAAAAAAACATACGCCAAGTGCATATAAAAGATACTGAACTTCTTGATCAAAAACAGATATGAGATAAATATAATTGACCAAGTGTATTCTTCATTACGCCAGTCACATAAGACAGACCGAAAGTGACTATAATTGTCAACTGGATTATAGTGAAGAAAAAACTTGGCGTGCCCGGGTCGCATTAAAACGCAATATTCTAGAACCTTGGTTCTATCGCAATATTCTGCAGTATACACAATATATGCGAAAACAATTCAACAAAGAAAAGATGTTAATAATTGCTTACTGAACATATTATAATACTTAGTTGTGAATATATTTTCATGTCCCACAAATTATATCACTATATAGTGAATGATGATACTAATTATATCACTATATTATACGTGTATATTATACGTATATATTATACGTATATATCTGTATACATATGTCTGTTATTTTTATATTTTAATTTATAATGCAAATACTATGTTGAAATAATGTTTTCACTGAATACTGTTTACAATTAATGCGACCCGGGCACGCCAAGTTTTTTCTTCACTATAATCCAGTTGACAATTATAGTCACTTTCGGTCTGTCTTATGTGACTGGCGTAATGAAGAATACACTTGGTCAATTATATTTATCTCATATCTGTTTTTGATCAAGAAGTTCAGTATTTTTTATATGCACTTGGCGTATGTTTTTTTCTTTTTTTAAAAAAAGGTTTTTTTATGGGATTGGCTATTTACCGCACGCAAAATCGTTAAGGTATAGGGCACATTACGTGCATGCGTGATGAAAAAATATTTAAATTAATTAACGTAATCGATCAAAACTTATGCTTACCAAATAGAACCATGATACAAAACAGGAAAAAACTTAGTCACTAAAATTTCATCTCAAATAATAAATTAAAATAAATGTAGAATAATCTCGTCAATTTACATAGATCTTAAACAAGAATAACGTTTAAACGCTGTCATGTTCTGATTGACTCTAAATACGATACGAAAATGACAAAACGCCAAAACACACAGAATTTGTTTACAATTTTTAAAAAATATCTATGTAAGTGCGGTCTAAGCCGTTGCAATCATTTTGTACATTGAGACCGTTCTTTTAGCTCTTAATATGTATGTTTTCCGCAATAATACGCTCGTTATAAAACCTCTTCACATCCAAAATTCTCACTTTATCCCAATCAAAATCGTAATTATGCATTCTATGATTTGAGACAAAGCACCTGATGTTCTGTGTATATTATTATGATGTTCTTTTATTCTCGTTTTCAGTTTTCTACCCTTCTGACCTACATAAGATGCATCACAATCATTGCAATTTATTTTGTAAACAACGTTTTTTTTTTTGTTCATTAGCAAGACTATCCTTATGTACTTTAATGAATCTATTTAATTTAATATTAAGACTGAAAAAAGAAACTTTTAACTCATTCCCATTAATAATGTTTTTAAATTTATCAGATATCTCCTGAATATAAGGAATTGTGAACCATTTAAACTTTTTCTTGCTGACAAGAACGTCATTTTTAATTGTTGTATGTTTTGGTTTTTTTTATTAAGAATGCAATCCTTTCAGTAATTGTCTTAAAAATATAATTTAAAGGATAATCAATCAAAATATTAATAATTTTAGTCAAATTTTCTTTGTGAAATTGTGGATGCGAAAAAGATGAAATATTTTGTCTACTAAACCCAATATAACTCCCTTTTTTAAGACATTAAATGTTAAGAATAAAAATTCAAAAATCTCTTCGAGAAGGTTTCTGAAACTAGTCAAATTCAAAAAAATCTTTTTCTATAAATATAGTGACATCCAAAAAATTAATAATATCATCTCCTCTTTCTATGGTGAATTGTAATCTTGGATGATAAGAATTAAATAATTTTAAAATGTTATCCCATTCAAAAGAAGGGAGATAAATGACAATATCATCAACGTACCTGTAATAAAAGTAACTGAGAATTTTAATTTTCTCAACACCCAATTCTCTAGATCCTGCATAATTAAATCAGCCACTACTAGTGATAATGGTGACCCCATAGGAATACCAAATTTTTGTCTATAAAATTGAGCATCAAAAGTAAAAAAGATTGAATCGGAAACATTAAACATCAATTTAATTATAAAAATTTTAATCGTTGATGTAATTACGTATTATATGTTTTAGTAAATATTTATTCTATTAATTTGCGCACTTACCCCGCTGACTCCTATTCTCGGTCTGTTACAGTTTTTCAGATATTAAGCGTTGAAGTTATTTTTTAACAGTAGTAAAGGTAAAAGTACCTATTAGGCGAACCCCCCAATGACCTTGACCTTGACATATGTTGTCAAGGTCATAACCCTGAGTAACCTTCAACAGGTTTTAGCCGTCGCTCGTCCTTCGTTAAAAAGTTATTAACAATCATAGTTTTTAAATTAACGTATGATATACGTGTATGATATTAAGTACTATTCTACACACCTTTCCCTGTTTAGGAACGTTAAACTTTCCACGCGAAGTAACTTTCACCCTCCTCCCCCCCTGCCAAGGGGCACACGACTTCCATGATTGTACAGTTGGGGGAGACCTCTATCGACGGGGCGGGTGCGGGAGGGGGGCGGTCCGTAGATCCGCCTCCTTGCACCCCTCCCCTCGTGTGCGTGCGTGCGTGCGTGCGTGCGTGCGTGCGTGCGTGCGTGCGTGCGTGTGTTACAAAATAAGATGTTATTTGATGTTTCACACACATACACACACACACTGGGAGGTGCAAAGGAACGGACCTACGGCCCGCCCCCCTCTCGCACTCGGCCCGTCGGTTGAGGTCTCCTCCAACAGTACATTTATAGCAACAGTAAAATCATAGAAGACGTGTGGGAGGGGGTGAAAGTTACCTCGCTTGGAAAGTTCACTACTGTTAAAAAGAATAGTCTGGACTATTGAATACGCATAGTATTAGCTATTGATAGTATACAATAGTCCAGAATATTGAGTCTGAATATCTCAAAAATTATGAGAGTCCGCCACCTAGTTGTTAAGGCAAAGTTACTCAGAATCATGACTTTGACAACATATGTCATCGGAGCTGGGTCCCCTAAAGTGAACATTTACTCCATTATTCTAAAATCTATGCTTCTTAAAACATTTGATTATATTCACTCTTCCTTTACATTCAATTCACATTTCTTCTTATCTTACATTATTTACGGCAAGGACTGTAACAATTATCCACTGCTTATCATAGGGACTTCTGCGAACGGAGTTTATTTTTATTCTTTTTCTAATGCTGTGATTGGCTTTGCGTAATTGATGCATGTGCAATTGATATACATCGTGCTCAAACAGTAAAATTTCGACAATAATATTAATCATAATGTAATTAAATTTGATATCAATATTATATCAATAAAAATTGAGCTTGAAATTATAAATATGAAAATATGCAGATAATAAAGTATTAAAAATTTCTAAGTGCATTTAATTTATATAGTATATATATATATTATATATATTAATTCAATTAAACCGTTCGTTCCATATATATGTATACATACAAGAAATTAATGTAACAAACTGTCGCATCCTTTTTTCAGAAGTACTGACGACAGATCGTACTTTTATTTATACCGCATTTCATACATGTGGTACTCTCCCCTTGGATTATTAATGACGTTTATACTCGGACTTTTCGTCAGTAATCTGTCTCGTTTATTCATCAAGAATCAAAATGGCGAGTTAGACACCAATTTATTTTTTCCTATAATAGCGCGGCGTATGCGTTATAGACGACGTAATAATATAAAGAATAAAGGAAATTCTCCGCTAAACAGAAGATATTCTCTTAGTGACGTAATCCATGGAAAAGATGATACCGCCGATGTTCGTGCATTGGCTGCTGATACAGCCCTTATATGAAGGGTCGAAATAAATGTGCCACAATTTAATTAATTTGCCGATAACTTTCTTTATTTAAACAACTTGTCAGAATTTAAACAGTCTTGTGACGCGGTAATTTGCGTCATAAGGGGGCATATATTATACATTTGTCGGTTCCCCAAAAAAATCGATTTTTTTTAAATGCATTTTTCGACAGTTTAAACCTTCAAGAATATTGTCCTAAAACCTTTTTTTTTTTAAATTCCAATAAATTAAGAAGTTACAACACGTTTTGTCGGGCTGTGCACAGGCGTGCGCTTGCCCTTTCTAAAACGGCGCGCCGCGACGGTAGCAGAATCGAAACCATATATTTTTCTATTTACAATATAACTTTCCTTTGAAATTGAAATAGTACTTCAAAAAACGGTCTTGCCGATATTTCACGAAGTTACACAAACATAAATGAAGATGCATCGAATCTTAAAATTTTATACAAAATTTGTGAAGTTGCACGGTACGAATTAAAAATTATGCACAAATGCCATTTGTATCTTTCGAAAGAGTGAATCTTCACCTATAATTTGCTTTTTGAGCTGTTTTTTTCACCGAGTTAATATTTAACGTTGAAGCAGAAACATTTGCAACATATCGTTGACTTCTTCCGTTATTTATTAGCGTTACAACCGACTATTGCAGAATCTAACGGCATTGTCGCAGAATTTACATATTCTGACACGTCAAAAGGCTGCGAATTTTCTGAAATTGCGAATAGAGTGAACATCGATGGGTATCACTCGCATTCGTACAGAGTGAACATCGACGAATGCGATATACATATGCGGTCATACATAAAAAAATTATTTAATTTATTATCGTACTCCTATTTGTTTTCATATTTCGGGTACATGTAATCATGATAATAATCTAACTGCTAAAGGCGCTTAGCGGGGAGCACAGGCTTTTCCGTAACGCATAATGCGTAAGACATAGTGCATAGCGTAACGCGCAGCAACGCACAAGCTTGTGTTAAGCCATGACATAAACGTATCTCTGCGTGGTTTAACCTCTTTTTGTCAGCTCGTCAGGTAAAGTGGACTAAATCGAATGAAAAAGTCCTTATTTTGTAATTTTTGCTATTTTTTTTAATTAAGGAGCAAGTGAAAGGAAAACAACATTTGGGAGTACAGGCCTACGCCGAGGCTTTACTCATCATTCCGAAAACTCTCGCCGTTAATAGTGGATTTGATCCGCAAGACACAATCGTTAAGTTATTTGAGGAAAGTTCTGCTTTAAGAGAACCAGTAGGATTGGATCTGTCTACAGGGAAAGCTTTAAAACCCGCAGATGCTGGCGTTTATGACAATTATAACGTAAAAAAACAAATCATCAATTCTTGCACAATAATCGCCAGTAATCTCCTTCTGGTTGATGAAATAATGAGAGCAGGATTATCTTCTCTAAAGAGTTAAATTATAATATAATTCTTATGGAATTAAAAGTTTAATGACCACTAATAGTTTTTTTACGAAGTAATTCAAATTATTGGATTTATTACATCTATTTCGCATTGTATCTGTTAACCAAATCCGTCACTTGATCTCTTGCTTTTAATTTAAATGTTTAATAACAAGATAATAAATTTCCACTGTAACAGATGTTTGCGTTATTTGTGTTGAGCTTTTCATCAACCCATTTTTGCTTTATTATTGTTTATATATTTTTGTATTTTTAGGTATACATATTTTAAATTTATCTATACTTGGACATCACATGAATTTCCACAAATATGGATGATGAAGACATATTTATTTTGTCAGTTTTGCAATTATGTTTATTGATCTTATTATAAAGAAGAGAGAGAAGCAAAAGATGGTTAAATCGAAGGTGGTGGGTGAGACCTATTAATGTTGAGCGACCTTTATATGGGGATTTTCAGCACCTCTTCCAGGAATTGAAATATAGTGATCCTGATATATTTTATCGATATGTAAGGATAAAAAAGGAAATTTTTTATCTTCTATTAGAGATGACAAGGCCTTTTTTGACTAAACGTGCTTTTAGTCCAGAACAACGTATTTATTGCTTATGTTTTATATAATTAAAGAGTAAAATGTACGTACGTGATTTGAACAAAGTGTTCATGCACTAAATTTTTTTAACAAAATTAAAAAAAAATTTGATAAATATAATCTTAATGGCTATACTCTAGATATCTCTATACATTATAAGATTATACTTATCAAATTTCTTTGTGATTTTTTATCCACATCACGTATGTAAAGCATTATTTTTACAAATGTTTCATGACTATACTTCGTGTTCTTCTAAAATAAAGACTTTTGTTAAAGATATTTAGCCACTGGAGATCAAATACTATCCATTGCACTAGCTTATACATATATATATACATTTAAGTTTTTGACCTTTATTCTTCTACTAGAAGATAGAATTCTCTGTTATATTTTTTTATATTTACTGCAAAAATCTGCATATAATATTGTATAAGTATAAAAAAATAACGACTCGTTATATTTTTTAGTAGAGGAACAGTAACGAGTTACTTTTGCAAATCAATAACGAGTAACGGTAACGAATTACTTTTCAGAAAAAAGAACGGTAACGGTAACTAGTTATTTTTATGAGGTAACGTTGCCAACCCTGCATTTTATATTAAGGCTACATTTCAAAATGTCCTGTCCAAGGAAAATTTTACTTAATATATTATAGTAAACGTTACATGTACTATACATTTCGAGTAAAATTTTTCTCGAAGAGAACGTTTTGGAAATGCAGACCTAGATTGTAAATGTTACAAACTGTTCAAGACTGTATCTTGTTGATGGAGGCGCATTTATTTGCACGTTTGAAGAATTTTGCAATAAGTTCTTTTTTTCACCTCTTGATAAAATAAGAAATTTTATTTTTGATTGCAAACCAATGCTTTCAGTGTTATATAAAAATTAGTAAATGTTATGAACTTTTTAAGATTGCAGTATCTTGCTGACGGAGACACATTTCTTTCTTGTACGTTTGTTATCGTCCTGAAAGAAAAAAAAATATGAAGAGATTGCTTATTGATATGAGAGATTGCTCACATAAAGACCCCTTTTATACCGAGCACTTGATACGCGTATTAATTAGTAATTTTCTATTAAATAATCTTAATTTCAACAATATATTTAAAGAATAATGTGTTAAATTAGTAAAATATGCATCAAAATAATTAATTAAATACACATATCATGTATATGTTTACACATAACGCTGAAATTAATATAATTCAATAGAAAGTTACTGGTTAGTACTCGTATCAATTGCACGATGTAAACTAGGTCAAAGTTTTCAGAAGAATGACAGGTAAAAATGCATTTTATGTGACACCTCACCGATTTAAGTGTTCTTTAAATGTGTTGTAGAAGAGAGTGTCCTGAGTGATTTCCTGCAAAAATTAAGTGAGGGACGACATTGTATATCTCATAAACCAATACCATCTCTTACTCAATTTTTACAGGAAATCACTCAGGACACTCTCCTCTATAACATATTAAAGAACACTTAAATCGGTGAGGTATCACCTAAAATGCACATATTTACCAAAAGAACATATAAAAACATCTACAACTATTTCTTTCATTTTTGACTAATTATAAATAATTTATATAGAAAAAACAATTAATAAAATTAGTTCTTATTCTTTCAAATGCTATTAATGTAATACATTAATACATTTTACAATATTAATTAATTGTATTAAGTATTTGTTTTCATTTCATCAATTTTATGTACTTTTCTTTATCTTAACTGAAAAACACGCTTTATTGATCATCTATCCCTAATATCTCTATAATTTAATTTTTATTATAATGTAGAGTGAAACTATTCCAGCAATTGCAATCTTAATGTAATATGGAAATTTACTTTAGCAAGCAATATCTTTTTCTTTGCATGCTTAAAACTATATTATTCAAATATGACTGCTTCTTAGAAAAACCTGCACGATCTTCAAATATTCAATATATACTGTTCAGAAACATAAGCATTGCCACTAGAAACAGACGGAGTACCTCCATTCTCTACCATACCTTCTCTTTTTGACGAAAGGATCCAAGAATTGCATGTTATCGAAAAATTCGAAGGCCTTTCGCTTCGAAACTCCACTTCCAGTTGTTGTTTCTTCTTGTCTTTGTTTCTTCTCTCGCGAGTAACGCTTCCTTAGCCTTGTCCATCTAGTATGACACTCATCTACTAGTATTGAATATTATTTTCATTGAAAATATTTATTTAAAAAATAAATAAGTAACTACAAAGGATTCTACACAAATCTTACAAAAAATGGGGTTCAGTTGAATTAGTTAAAATTTTATCATATTATTATAGTCCATGATATACTCAGGATATTTCAATTAATTGGACTGAAATCCATTTTCCATACGATTTGTGAGGACTTCTTCATTTAGTCATGATTTTTACTAATTTTCAATAAAAAAAAAAGTCTTTAATCTTATTTATTCTAATATATTGCGAAGAATATCACGTAATGTTGGCGTTTCGTCCCGACTTCCAATACTGGACTCATCAGTAAGGTATTGTATGGAAGCCTACCTTAGACGCCTGTTTTAGTTATTAAATCGAGATTCTATATATACAGATATACGCGTATCAAAGCACTTGCGAGAATCTTAGCGAATATCTATAGACCTCTGATGGCGGGTCGACGTAGTAATATTCTTCGCAATATATTATTCAAAGTAATATATGTATATGTATTCCCTTCCCACCCCCCCCCACCAACTTGCGCGCCGAACAATCGTCGGTCTTGAAACGCAACTCTATCTGAAAATTC